TTTCTTTTCTTTTCTTTTCTTTTCTTTTCTTTTCTTTTCTTTTCTTTCCTTTCTTTTCCATTGTTTTCTTTTCTTTTCTTTCTTCCTTCCTTTCTTTTCTTTCTTTCTTTCTTTCTTTCTTTCTTTCTTTCTTTCTTTCTCAATAGACAGTTCTGGAATGTTTGGGGAAAATCTTGGCTTTACACAGCCACTCCCTGTCTGGGAAGTCTCAGGCCAGCCTCTTGCAATTTCTTTCCTCCTATTTTTCCGCTTCGTGTGTCCCTCCTGAGCATGATGTCCTGTTTCCTGAGGCAGGAACCTGTCTGCGGGCAAGGTTGGAGAGTTGATGGCACTCTGGAGCCAGCTTTGTGGCAGCTGGTGACACAGTGGGCCTGACCTCATCTATTACTAATTGTTGAAACTTGTGTATGAAGGAACATGTTAGTAACAGCACTCACCTCCATCAGGCCACTCTCAGGCCTGGGCAGAGAAGACAGGCAGTGACTCACATCATGGCGAGAGAGAGCCCAGTCACCTCTGGGCTACGTGAAAATGACATGAAAGGAGGAATCAGGAGAGGAAGCCCCCTCCTCACCCCTCCCAGCTCCCCACCATCTGCACACTCCTCCCCACCCTGGTCTTCCCTATAGCCTACCTCCTTGAAGCCAGCTCCCCTCTTCCCACCTCATCATGTAGTTCCAGCCACATGGGAGGCGTGTGCTTCTCTATATGTAATCTGCTTCTCACCTCTCTGCACTTTTACGTGTCATTCCCTCTGCCTCTAATGCTCTTCCTTCGAGTCTGTATTGGTTTCGTCTCACTCTTGCTTCAAAGCCCAATTCAAATGTTTTCTGACCTTTGCAACTTCCCCCCCGAGCCCCTTTGTGACTAGAGAGCCCTTTGTGCAAAGCCACAGTCTGAAAGGCACTTATTATTCTGTGTCACAGTCACTCTTGTGTATCTCACTTTCTAGTAGATTTGGGCTGCTTGAGGGCGGGGGCTATACCTGGTTCATCTTTGGATCCACTTTACCTACCAAGGGGCTGGCATGAACAAACATTCACTAAATGTTCATGGTCTGATTGTGGAATGAAACAGACATACTGTGCAAAGGACACATGATGCTGGTCCAGTAGGCAGATGTGTGCAGACGATTTGAGTCCAAAGTCTGTAATTCTGAAGAGTTCGCTATCCTTAGGCCCCTGGAAATCGTTCCAATAGCAGAGTAGCAGATTTCCTCGGCTACCATGCCTCTACCATGTCAAGAATGTATAAACTATCTACTCAGTGCTCAGCTTTACAATCAATGAAATGGAGGGTTCGAAAGAGCTAGAAGATACCATCTCTACCCCTATGGACCAGGAAGCCTAGTCTGAAAGGCAGTGTGACCGAAATGAGAACATACAAACCAAGATCAACCCGTCTGCAGTTGCTTGGGAGAATCGTTTAATGTTTTTCAATAAAGAAACTCCTGCTTCTAATTTCCCTGGATCTTTCTATACAAAGTTATTTGTGTTAGGAACAGCTTGGTTGAAAATCACGGCTAGGAGTTAAGGGCACCTGCTCTTGAATTTCAGATGGAGGTGTTGATTCACCAGGCAAGGTGGCATCACAGACAGAAACTCTGGTTTGGGCAGTGTGGGAAGGATGAGATGGAGGCAGAGAATGGGTAGAGATTCTCGGAATAGTTCAGGCAGGAGGTCAGAGAGGCGAGGCTAGGCTGCCACCATGAGAACAGAAATAGAAGGTGTGGCCAACGTCGCTGTTCCCAACCTCTCCTGAGACTACATACAGCTCTTGAAAGAGAAGTCTGAAATTGTGCCAGGAAAAAGAGAGGGTGTCCAAAGAGATGGAATCCCAAATCAAGAAGGGATTTTCCATCACTGAGGCTGTTACTGTGTTTGAAAGTATTATGCGCTCAGCTTGTGTTTAGACTCCCTTAAGCAAGATTCAGTTTGTTGAATGCAAAACCCTGTCCATGTATTGCCTGTGTTTCATGGCGTTGGTGATTATCTCAAGGCATCCAAAGAAGCCTAGAGCCTGCTTATCTCCCAGAGTTATTTAATCTGGTCTTACCAGGCCCGCATTTAACAAAAATGATGGGTTGTATTTCTAAATAAGAATTTGTATCTACAAATGTTGTGATTGCTTTGTTGGAAAGCAGTCATAATGTTTGTTGTAGAAAACAGACTATCCATATAAAGATATGTATAAAATACAACATACCAAAATTACCTATAAATTCACAACCCAAAAGTAATTTACTAGGAACATTTCATTGTCCCTTTCAGTGTTGTCTTACTGTTTATATGTGTGTGTTTTATTTTTTTCTTCTTTGTATAAGCATTTTTTTGTCTTCAAATAAGCATCTTTGAATGCTGACTCTCTTTGCCTAGGGTTGGGAGGTGACGAGGGGATAACAAACTCCACAGGAAAACTGCACTCCACTCCCTGAGTAGCCCCCCAGATCTCAAATACCCCAACTGCTCATCTCTGTCTTCTTAGTCCTGGAGGAAATTTGACCCCAGGCCTGCCTCCTGTTTCCTGCCCTTCCTGCCCCTCAGTCCCAGCCCCCAGGCCCCAATCTAGGGGCTTCTTAAGGAAGCGAGCAGGCTTGATGGGCACGTGTTACTGAACTCAATGTTCTTAGAATTGATTCCCTGTAGAGACCTGAAGTCTCTCCGGACAACCTTTGACCCTCCTGTGAGGAGATGAATTCTCTGTGACTCCTGGAGATTCTCCAGCAGTCTCCTTCTCTGGAGTCATAAGGGTGTCTGTAAATGGAAGCTCATGGACTCAAGAGTTGTAAGGCCCATGCATAGGTCATCGTGTCCAATCTCCCATCCAGTATAGGAACCCCCTCCCTAGCATTCCTGCTGGGTAGCCCCCAACCTCAGCCAAACATTACTAGGAATAAAGAAATGAGGGCTGTTCACGTTGCTGTAAGACACCTCAAAGGCCGGACAATTCTGGTTTTATTTTCAGCGAAAATCTGATTTGAAATGAGGTGAAATGATGGAAAATTTATTTACTTTGTTGATATTTTCGCCCTCAGAGATCATTCTAGTTTAAGCTGCTCTGAAAGACACTAGTCTTTTAGGAACGGGGAAGATCCATGGTCCTCCTGAAAGTATACACAAACTCATGTGAGTATGTGCAGATGTGCTCCCTCATTTGCGAGGGAGGGTTGGGGCCTGAGCTGTTAAGAGATTCTGTAAGCCTAGGAATCCCACGTGGTTCCTGAAGTGCTGCATTGATTGAGTTGAGGGCATCACACACAAAAGGAATACATACCGGATCTCCTTCAGATCTTGCTCGGAAAGAGGCACACTGCCATCCTGCCTGTCAGCTTGTCCCGGGGGGTGCCAGGGCTTTGTCTTTAGCCCAGAATAAGTCCCCTTCTCCCAAGCAGCGCCCAGCAAATGTGCCATCTGTCTCCAGGCCAGCCACGTGGAAACATGACGCCATCCGGAGCCTTTGTTTCAGATACTGCTCCCATTTCTCAGTGTCAGCCTGTCTGTGCCTTGACTTCTCCACGTCAGCACCGCCCAACTGTGGAAAAGGCATGAGGGATAATGGCTGTGTTTATGGAGCCAGAGCGTGTCACGAGGCTTTTCAGACAAAGGGGTGCAGAGGCTCACACATTCCTAACTCATCATCTGCACACCCATTCAGGAAAAGGAAATGACTGGGGCCACCTCACTCCTAGCGTGTCTCCACTCGTCCTTGCGGCAACTGCCTCAAACACACACCCACACCCACACAAAGGGACACTTTTCTCTCTTGTTTTTACTAGTAAGCTTTCATCTGGCGGTTACATCGTCTCTGTGTTGATTTGCTTTAAAATATTATCTGTCTAATCTGCATAGTGAGGAGGCACCTGAAGTGTCCTAGTCAGGCACGGATTAACCCAACTAAATGGGTTAGTTACCGTTTGAAAAACCCTAATGAGGGATCAACACTTCTGAGGGAGTTACTTAGCACTTCAAATCCTACCACTGAAATCTATGTTAATTAGCAGAGGGGACGTTAGGTGCAAAATGATCACTGGAGGAATGGGAGGTACTCAAGTCATGCCAATTGGTAACACCAGGTCTCAAATAAAATAAAAGATGAACTAAAGCCTTCACATATAAATATACTCAAGTTTTTCTTGTCCTCGGTAGGATCTTTCAAGAGTTTATCATAACTGTGGAATTAAATTGAAAATATTTAACTTAGCGATTCCGCATTGCTCAGCTGTAGACTCCTTATACACAACAGCCACGCTCCCTGCCGCACATGCTGGTTTTGGGTCAGATACACAGTCCCACCTCCGGGCTCACACAGGTCAGACTATTACCCCTTTTAAGACCTGCTCATATGCTGTTTTCTTGGCCAGAAACACTCTCCTGGATAGAGCTCTCCTATTTGCTGTATACCTTGCTTAACGCACTGACCAGTTCTAAGCCTTCATTGTCTCATCTATGAAACGAGAAAAAAAAAATCATTCTCTTCTATATTACTAAAGACTAATGAGCTTATGTTTGTAAAGGGTTCAGCTCAGTGCCTGGCACATGGTAAATGGGATCACTGTTTTCATTACTAGTCACTTAGGTAACTCCAACTTGGTCACCAAAACTTCTTTCAAGTGTCTTCTTTTCTGGAGGGTTTCTCTGGTCACCCTCCCACACCCAAACCCAGATAACATGTTCCTGCTCTAAGCTCTCACAAAGTCTAGCCAACCTCTATGTAAGTGTATACCACACTCTATAGTGAATTTTCTTTTTGTGTGTTTATCTCTTCCTAAAAACCATAAGCTTCTTGAAGGCAGGAGCTATATCTTAAAAAAAAAAAAAAAAGTTCCCCAGTGCCCAGTATATAATAAATACTCAATAAATATTGAATAAATTAATGAACAAATGCATGAACTAGTTGGGAATGTATGGCTCCCTAAAGAAACACTTGGGAGAAGGCTCTGAGAATAACCATCCAATGGTAGAATGGTAACCTGGAAAAGGAGTCAAGGAAGTTGATTTGGAAATTACAGATAGAATTCAGTGTAATATATGGAAGCACTTCTATGACTGTCCAAAAATTGGTATTTCCTTCCCCAAATTTATTTCGACAGAAACCAGAAAGATTGATTGGATTTACCCATGGCATAAGAGATTGGTCTATAAAAGGCTGTTTAACATTTTGTGACATTCTGTGACCGTTCCATATGAGAAAAAAAGTTTTATGAAACATTCTGAAATAAATATTCATGCTTTATTGTATATTGATTATCTACCTTAAGAAACTTAACTCTTCTCCTAAGTATACTTTTTAGTTTTCAAATGATCTGTTTACCTTTTTGATCAAAAAGATTTGTTTACCTTTTTATTACATATATATATATATATATATATATATATATATATATATGTATATATACCTATCCTATATGTAGCTAATATCAAAGATAGTTTTACTGATAATATATTTCGTGAGACTTTTGCTTGGCTGTTGGAGGCAGGGCTCTAAATTATTTGCATCAAATTGTTGAATTTTAGGTACACTTACTGAAAGCACAGGGATGGCTGAGGAGGCCATTTTGACTTTAAAACCAGAATGATTTTATGTTATTATTTTTATTAAAAATTTTTTTTAATGTTTTGGTTCTTTAATTTGAGGGAGGAAAAGAGGGAAAGCATGAGTGGTGGAGAGAAAGAATCCCAAGCAGGCTCCGTCCTTTCAGCATGGAGGCTGACGTGGGCCTGATCCCATGAACTGAGAGACTATGACCCCCTCTGCGACCAAGAGCCAGATGCTCAAACAACTGAGCCACCCAGGTGCCCCCAAACCAGAATGATTTTAAACCAACAATGGTTTTAAAATAAAAAAATCAGGTAAATCTTGAGTTGACCCAAACCTCATAACTCATAACCTCATAACTTCATAGTGTGTCAGTGGATGCTGAAAAATTTTGAAAACCTCCAGAGAAGGGTCAAACCCAGAATAAATCCAAGTCCCCAGCTACTTTTTCCAATTTATGGCAGACAATTAAGCATTGGATGAGGAATATTTCAAGTTAGAACTTGTGTACAAACTTCATGTAACCAGGAAGTTCCCATGTTACCTCTGGGGCAAGTCTCTTTAATCACTGAGGAACACAGGAGGGGGCTTTCCATTAAGCAGATATTGTGTGACTGGGTAGAATAAAAATAGATCTAATCCACTCGTCAAGAATGATCTTGTCATTTTTATTAGTCATTAGCACTGGATTAAACATTTAGCAATTTTTTCTGAAGCTTCTTTGGAAAAACAGCAAGACCGGGAAGGAAACTTAGGAAAGAACCAGATCCCTCCATGTCTTTGTATCCTAAATGCATTTTTTTTCTTTATTATTTTTTGGATTTTTCTCTGCATCAATTGGGTAAGCAGCTAAGATAGGTTGAAATCTATGCCTTAAGACTAAGTTGTCTCTTTTCAACACCACGTAGAATAAAGACCAAAATAAGCAGCGAAAATCTGATACTTCCAGTAAAATTGGTTTGATTAGATTTGGGAATTATCCAGTTTGGCTCCCTTTCTTAGTCAAATAAACATAACATTAGTTACATCTTGACTCCACCTGTGGCCATGTAGACAGAGTTTATTAACATTCATCTCTAAGAATTTTCCTTGGCATTAACAAAATATAAGTATGCTATTGTTCTTCATGATGAATGGGACAAGCGGTCACACCTTGTGAATAACATTAGGAAAACGAAAATTCCTGGCAAAGCCTGTGAACAGATAAGAAGCCTCAAAGCCACCAACCAAAACAAGCCATTATGGTATTTCTGCAGGTATTTCATTATTTGAAAATATGCACCATATGGTGCTTAGGACAGACTACAATAAACTGCTAAATTTCTTTTTTTTTTAATTTGTTTATTTATTTATTTACTTATTTATTTATTTAGAGAGTGTGCACGAGCGGGGGAGGGGCAGAGAGAGAGAGGGAAAGAGAGGATCCCAAGCAGGCTCTGTGCTGTCAGCATGGAACCCGGCCTGGAGCTTGAACTCACAAACTGTGAGATCATAACCTGAGCCAAAATCAAGTCTGAGGCTTAACCAACTGAGCCACCCAGGTGCCTCTCTGCTAAATTTCTTAAAAGATTTCATGTTGTATAAAGTTGGTAAGGTAACATTCTCAATCTTATTGTACAGAGATTCCTTTTTTTTTTTTTTCTTTTCTAGTGTGACATGTCAAGAATAAGGTAAAATGACATCAAGCATCTCAACAGCTGGACGGTGCAATTTGTCTTATAAGGGTGCCTCACTCACACCTATGCATCATTATGATTTTTTAATGGAATAATTTTAAGGAATGCTAAGAGAATATTAAGCTCACAATATTTTTTTAAAGTTTATTTATTTTTGAGAGAAAGAGAGTGAGCAAGGGGCAGAGAGAGAGGGGGAACAGAGGATCCAAAGCAGGCTCTGTGCTGTCAGCACAGAGGCAGACATGGAACTCGAACCCACAAACTGAGACATCATGACCTGAGCCCAAGTCCAATGCTTAAGTGATTGAGCAACCCAGGCACCCCAAACTTACAATATTTTTAACCAGGGGAATAGCATGGACTTAAAAAATAAAACAAAACAACACGATAGTATTGTATGTTTATGTATTTGTATTTATATTTTTGTATATGTATTTGTATGTTTGGCATTGGATAGATTTAGAATTTTATTTCTTATTTAGAAGATTCCTTATATGAAGAAGGGGGAGGAAGAGAATCCCAAAAGTCAAAGTCTGGCTGAAAATTTATCTCAAAATCCCATAATTCTATATAAGAAACAATGTTATGCCTTTGAATTTGTAACAACTTTCCTGGAGGTAATGCTCAAGAAGCTAGAATTTTCTTAGATTAAGCAACCCTGAGAAGTCTAAAATATTCGCAGCTTGTGAGCAAGTCATGTATCTGAATTGCTTACCACTTCTCCTAAATGCTGAAATCAAAATAGCCTTGAGCTTTAAGAAGATATTCTACATAATATAACATTTTGGCAGCAATACATCAGTGTATCTTTAAGCAGAGACTTCTCCAAAATGAACCAGCTGCATGTGGCCACCATATTCTATTCGCAATAATCGCGCCTCGGATAAACTTCATTGGCTACGATACTGCCACTGCGCAAAGCTGACCACCATATTCTATAGGGCATGAAGTTAATGTTTTTCCCATTCAGGACACTAGAATAGTGATCATACATGCCATGGAGGTCCTCCCAATTTATTTACTGTTTCTCAAAAGTACGTTAACTTGAATACTAAATAAGGAACTTTGCCCACCTGTCAAGAATCACTTCACTCTGTGGTGGCTCTTTCTGTTCTACTACCAATATCCGCTATGGCAATAGTAGTACTCTCTTTACTTTCAATTTTTTTCTTAAATATGTTTATCTATATTGATGTAGTGTCATAAAATATAAAGGGAAACCTCAGCAATTTCTTTCAGTGGAACAATTTCCCCTCTGAAACCGGAAACACTCGTCAAGCTAAGGAACATATAAGTCCAAATGTCTCTCTGTAATTGGAGAAAACCATGATGGTCTCCAAAGTTACCTGTGTGGTTATATGCTTTAAATAGGGTTGGGAAAGAAGAAGTTAGAATAGGGAATCTTTGAGAATGGCATGCGGACCTCATTGATTCCGGTAATTGGGCGTGTCCAAACAAGCTACTGTTCCAAATAAGACACAATACATATGAAGCTACCTATAGAAGGGCAATATTCAGTGCATGCTACGATATTTTTAGCCCCAAGTATCTAAAGTCTCTTTTAGTCCTGCTGGGTAAAAAAGCAAAAGGAATACGGAGAAAAATGATTACAGGTTTGAGGCTACAAAATGGTGGTTGGGGCGGGGTTTAAAAGTGTGTGTATGTGTGTGTGTGTGTGTGTGTGTGTGTGTGTGTGTATGTAACTCTTTCTTACAGTGGTATTCACAGTGATTACTTTAAGAGCAAAGCAATTTTGGGGGCACCTGGGTGGCTCAGCGGTTAAGCCTCCAACTTTGGCTTGGGTCATGATCTCACAGTTCATGGGCTTGAGCCCCACATCGGGCTCTGTGCTGACAGCTAAGAGACTGGAGCCTGCTTCGGAGTCTGTGTCTCCCTTTTTCTCTGCCCCTCTCCTGCTAGTGTGCTTTCTTTCTCTCTCAAAAATAGAAAAATGTTAAGGTTTTTTTTTTTAATTAAAAAAAAGAGCAAAGTAATTTTTTTCATTTTAATGAAAGAATTGGGGATATTTACTTTTTAAAATGTCAATTTCTGAAAATGGTAAAGAGCATGTAGCAAGGACCAGATGGATGTTTTCAATAGGAAAGATCTGTCCAGTGGCAGAGGTATTACACTCTCCCTCGGGGGTATAGGGATGTGAAGGGAAAAGTGAGAACCAATGAGTAGACATCATCATAATGGAGAATATTTTAGCTCAAAATGTGGGAAAACTTTCTACCAAGTCAAGCTGCCTGACTGAACTCGATTGAACTGAATGGTTACTTTTTAAGGACACTGTGAAGAGAATTTATGCATCAAGTGGGGATGACATCTAAGGTTTCTTCCAACTATGACGTTGGAGGTTTCTATTATTCTAAATCTAAATGATATTTGCTCTCTGCTGAATTTCCCTCTGAACTAATTTGTTTCAGAACCTAGACCAGAGATCAATTACATGGCTACTACAAAAGTGGCTTCCTAGAAGACTGACTTTTTCTTCTGCGTATCCTAAAGCCTTGAGTACACTCAGATGACTAGTATACTTCAAACTGGATGCAATGTAGCCAAAAGGTTCTCTGAATGACTCAAGGGAGACAAAATATATTTTCAGTCTGGGAATGTCAATAACATTACATTTGAATGTGTATTCAAAAGGGAAAACTAACGATGAGAAAGAGGTATATGTAAACTCAAGTCTTATATTGTTTCATTAACCAGTAGAACTCAGGCAAGTGACAGATGACCATGAGATGATAAGAAGAACAGAATTTTACTCTGACAATCACTACTATTCTTGGGGTGTCTATTATTTCATAGTTTTGTCTCATTCTTTCTTCATAAGAATTTTATGAAATGGGTGCCATGATTAGCCTCATTTCTTAAGCACAAAGGTATTAATTACCACCCAAGTATGAACAATCAGTAAGTGGCATAGCTGGAACGCAAACCCAGATCTGTCTACTTCTCTTCCCACAGCCTTAACCACTCTGCTCAGAGGAGACTGGAGCCTTCCAAATATTTTGGATGGCTGTTGCCCAGGTGGCCCTGAATCAGGCTGTCTGCTGAGAATCTTTGACTAAGAACTTGAAAAGACAGTCCCAATCCTGGATCACACAAACTCCTAATTATTTAGAACTTTGGAAGCAGTGGCTATCATGTATGTATAAACAATAATACCTAAGGAGGGGATGAAGAAGTGAGGAATTTGTGATTATTTGAATTGCATAAGAGACATTTGAGGGAGTAGACTAATATTTCACAATAGACAAAGGTATACTTTTCATTCGAGTTTGGTACTAACGATGTTCTCTATTTTTTCTGGAAACAAAATAAGAGACAATTTTGAGAGGAATGGTCTAGGTTCAATATGAAGAATAAATTCCTGGAAGAGAAAATGACAACGCTTAGGAACAGATTACCAAGTAAAGTTATGACTTAAAAAAAATGACTCACCTCTGTGGATTAAGTTGTATTTTTACTACAGGCATGACTACATGATACTCAAAAACATTCAGTAGGGAAAAAAAGTTAGTTAAATTGTTTACTAGCATGTAGTTTTAAAATGGAAAAGAATTTTTTTTTTTTTTTTGCTTTTGAACTATTCGAAGAGAAAATTAGGATCTACCTCACTTTTTCCAAATGTCTGTGTGGTGACATCAATGGCACTTTGCAAAGCAACGTGTATTCAAATTTTAGGTTTTTTTCACTTCTGTTGGCTAACTTCTGAGTTGGAAGACGAAGCAGAGGTCATCTGAGTTGAGTCTCCTGCTGCCCCTTCCTGCTTTTGGCTTAAGGATCCTGCTTCTCAGACTAAAAAGTACAGTTCTTTCCAGTCCATGTGCTAAGCTTATGTGAGTAAGGATTAGCAATGAGCCTGGCTCTGACAGCAACACAGATAAATCAACATTTAAACCTTTGGAAAGCCATTAAATATGTGATGCTCCCTTGTTGATTAAAATGGTTCCTTCATTCCAGGATGGATAAAATACTAAGTACCACTTCCTTACATGAAATTTGGGGGTCATTCAATCCCTTGGATAAGCTGACAAATCTGCTCCCCCGGGAGCTTGGGGAACTTTGTGAGAACCCAGAAAGCCAGATCTACAAGAGATCTCCAGCTTGTGGTAGTAGTTCCGGGGCTTTACCTGATGGGCTCTCTGAGTCAAGTCTTTGTTTCTTCCCCTGTAAAACGGGGACCATGACACTATACATGTGAAAACACTTGATAACCTACAAAGTACCATAGACGTGTTAGGTTAGGTGTTGGTATAATTATTGGATTTCCCATTGATGTGGCATCACTTTACAATTCTGATCAACGTGGAAAATTGCCCTCTAAATTAATAATTATTAACCCTCAGTTATGGAGCCTTTAGTATATGCCAGGTAGTGGGCTAACCTCATGAAAATATAAGATCTCATTTAATACTCACCCCATAACCAAGGTAGTATTATTATCTCCTATGATAAGTTTATTTATATTTATACTTATTATTATTATTATTTAAAGATTTTATTTTTAAGTAATCTCCATACCCAACATGGGGCTCGAACTCATAACCCCAAGATCAAAAGTTGCACATTCTACTGACTGAGCCAGCCAGGTGCCCCTATTTATATTTATTAATTTGTAAATGAGAAAACTGAGGTTTAGGGAAAGTGAGTAACTTGCTCCATGTTATAAAGCTTGGAAGAGCTGGTAAGCATCTGGCCCACATTCGTCTAATTCATTACCTGAGAATCGTACTATTGCTTTAACTTTATCTTCTGTGTTTCCAGACAGGAAGGATTTTAGTTCTAATGAGATGGGAATGGGTTTCAGTGAATGTCTACGGTGGCTTCCTATCACGTTCAGCCACTGCTCTGTGCAGCCAACTTCTTGCTCTGAGTACCGAGTGGTGGCCTGATGCTATTCATCTAAGACATGTTTGGTATAGTTGATGCCATTGGTGCCCTACCTAGACCCTCTTTACCAGCCGGCACACCCATCCTGTAGCTGCCAACAACTCACAGCTGCCCCCATTCTGGAGAATCGCCCACTCACCCTGCCCCAGACAACCTGGGATCTCTGTGTAGCCTACCTACTCACCCTAACAGACCATGGCAGAAGACAGACGGGCATAGGCCAGCCCCTTCACCTCAAGGTGGGACCTAACTCAGGTGCAATTTGTGCTCCAGGGTGTCTGTCCCAGTGGGAGCCATACTAAACCAGTCTCCAGCTAAGATTGGATTCTTGCTTAGCTTTTTCCCTCCTAGATCTATTCTTTTCCTTTACCCCCTTCCCTGAGAGCACAAACCAAGAAACCACTGGAAGAAGGATCCCCATTTTAGGCCCTGCTTTTAAGAAACCTGAGCTTGGGGCACCTGGGTGGCTCAGTTGGTTGAGCATCCAACTTTGGTTCAGGTCATGATCTTGTGGTTCATGGGTTCGAGTCCCACATCTTGCTCATTGCTGTCAATACAGAGCCCACTTTGGATCCTCTGTTCCCCTCTCTCTGACCCTTCCCCCCTCCCTGACCCATGCATGTGTGCGCTCTCTCTCTCTGTCTGTCAAAAATAAGTAAACATTAAAAAAAAATAAATAAACCTTAGCAAGGACAGTTGGGAATTATTGTTTTTCTATACTACAGTACTTACTTTCCTCTTATTCAAAGAATTCCATGCCTTTGAAGCCTTCATTTAAATACATCTTCTCCTTCAGCTACTTATGTTTGTTTGTTTGGAACTAATCCTGGTTTCTTCCTTTTCTTGGGGGAGGGGGGACTGGATCATTTTGGAGAGCAGGTGTGGTGTCATCATTACTTGTAATCTAAGAGTCTGGTAAGAGGTTGTTCCCAACTACTATTGACTAATTACTGACACAGAAAATGGCTTAATACCATCTATTTGGTTCCTAATTCTTGTCATACATTTACAAAAATGTTGAGACCTCAGAGAACGAACGTATCATACAGTACCTATTTGGTGTACTGTAATCACTAAAACTAATTACCTGGGGTTGCCGGGTATGAAGGGTAATTGTCTTTTTCCCTCTCACAGTGCTTCAAATGTCATCTTTTTTCTTCCCCCAGGGAAAACACCCTCTCATGGCTTTCTCTTTGCCATGGTTGCCTGCTGGTTCCTCAGTTGGGCTCCAGAGGAGACTGTGATGATAATTGCACTGAGGCACTATGACTAGGCTGTTAATGTGTTACCCTGAAGCAACAACACAGCACTTCTTTGAGCTAAAGAAATAAAAAAGCACTTTCCAAAGGGACTGATCTTACAATTTGAAAGAGAAGTTTCTGAAAATCAGCGCAATATTGGATACGGAGGGAAAGTATCTGTTTTGGGGAAACTGCTAAAAGAATTAGACCTTTAGTTTCTACCAGTTAATCATTAACAATTTTAAGTCTAGGCAGATAAACACGTTCCACCACAAAGAGATAAGAAAGCTGGAGAGCATCATAGGAACGTTTACAAGTTCAAAGTCTAGAGATTAGCCTATGTAGCCAATGTGATCAATTTCAAGGTTTCCATTGCCCCACAGTGAGAGATGAGGCTTGAAGGCGAGGTGAGGACCACAGAATGATTTCAGGACTCACCTTGGATGGCACTCAGTTCTTACTAAGCTGCCAGGCTTTCTGGTGCTTTTGATAGAGCTTTGTCTTACTTCTACAAATTTCTCCTTGGGGTTTTACTTACTTACAATCTCTGATTACTTAATCTCTTTAGTTTAAAAATTCTGTATTTATTATTCCCCCAATTTTCATAATCTTCTTTCCCTGTTCACCACATTTCAGACCTTTCCTTGTTCCATAGACCATTCCTCCAGGTGAGATACAAAGCAGCTGTTGAAGTAGGTGGCATAATTGTTGTTTAGACTCCCATTATTCAAGAGCATAATCCTAGGAACTCATCCGTGTGTTTCCAAATATTGTAAGTCAGCCATCCCAGTTTTCTTGTTCTTTCTTCCCAGACCATTCTCCTTCTAGACACTGCCTTTCTGCGTGGCTCAGCAAAGGTCTGAGGCAAAAATTAGTTCATAGAAAGACTTCTGGCACCTGGAAAAGATATCTCTAAGCTTTCTTCCAAAATGCATGCATGAAATGTCCCTTTATCCAGGTAGTAACTTTCTGCTAACATCACTTTACCAAGTAATGTTCCTTTTCCTCCATGCCAAATATACTCACAGTGTACGATGCAAATGTCCTTCAGTAGATAAAACACACCCATTCATAGACACCTGCAAATGACCAAATGGATTCTATGAAGTAGAAAATAATTTGAAATGTATTAAATGGTATTTGACCTATTCATAATCAGTGTCAATTGAGCTGAGCAGAGGACAAATAAAACTTTTAATGGTAACTAATTATTCTGTTTTCTCTGCCTTGCGAAGCCATCAAACAGAATATCTCAAAGTCCATACATTTAATTTGTCTCTGACTGAAAGAGCTCGTTTTCATTAGGCAATGTCTTCAATGATGCTCTCACTCTTTTTTTTCCCGATTTTTGCTCGTGGAAAACAGTGATTGGTTGGATGCAGTGCTGTCCTCTGACCACGGAGGAAGGTGAAATGAATTCGTAGTATCCTACTGCTGTCACTTCCTTGGTCTTCCCTTTCCTGCTTTCCATCCATTTCCCCATCACTCTCCACTCCGCAGTCTCCCGAGAACCAGCTCTTGTTCTTGCCCGGTGGTTTACGTCTCCTTTTTTGACAATGACAAAAAGTAAGCTGTCAGTAATAATGATATAAGAACTACATTCTTTCTGATTATAAAATTAATAGCTTCATTTTAACAGGGTGGTTTCTTTTGAAAATACAAAACAAAAAACAAGAAAGAAAATATAAGCCCATTTGTAACTCTGTTTTTCAGAGATATTGGCATTTTGGTGTCTTTGTTGTTGTTGTTGTTGTTTAATTTTTTTTTCAACGGTTTTATTTATTTTTGGGACAGAGAGAGACAGAGCATGAACGGGGGAGGGGCAGAGAGAGAGGGAGACACAGAATCGGAAACAGGCTCCAGGCTCCGAACCATCAGCCCAGAGCCTGATGCGGGGCTCGAACTCACGAACCGCGAGATCGTGACCTGGCTGAAGTCGGACGCTTAACCGACTGAGCCACCCAGGCGCCCCTATTGTTGTTTTTTTAATAAAATAGTTGAGAGCATTTTATGTTATCAGTTCTCTGATATGCTATTTTTTTTTTACTTAACACTATTTTGTAATCATTTCTAATGTCATTAAAATTATTATTAAAGTGTGATTTTGAAGGATTTATCATATACATCCTATGGCTTCTTCATAATTTATTCTACTATTCTTGCGCCATGAGCATCTAGTCTCTTTGTGACTCCTATGGTAAATAATGGAACAACTGCCCCTCACATATCTACAGTGTTTTAGATACTCTTTAACACCAAACTCAGTAATTGGTTGCAGGATGGAGTTATCATTTTGAAAAGAAAAAGAATTCTTACTTTATTTGCTTCCTAAAAACGTCAACTACCTCCGAGTGTGGCCAAAGTCCGAGGCAGATGAAGCAAAGGCCATTGACTCATTCCATGTGCTTGGATTATCATTTAGGTAATGGATGAAGGTGAGGTGAAAGTGGACCAATTTTTAACTAGTAAATCGAGAGCATAGGCTTCCACGCTTCTACTTTTTATACATCATTCCAAAATGGAAGTAAAGCTGACGCTTCTTTGTGTGTTGTGCCCAGGGTCTACTTCAGACATACACTGTATGGTCTCTCAGTGTTTGTTCCTTGGAGAAATCTAAAGCCAACGAGAGATGTGTCCTGAGGTAGAGGTGCCATCTTCTCTTCTCCAGGTTTCCGTTGGTCCACAGCAGAGGGCTGTGGGTTTTTGCAAGTTCTTCCCCGTAGATATATCCACAGAAGGACCCTCACTCCCTCTAGTGGAGAACACGCCAGACAAACAGTCTAATTCTGCCCCACAAGGTCCAGAAGCCAAGAACTGGTGTCCTTAAATGCCCTCCCAAA